GACTCCAATAACAACGAGCTTCATTACTAAAAAATAATCTTTCATCAACTTTCTCTCTCCTTCTTGATTTTCAATTAACTCTCTTTATCCTTTCTTAAATTTAGTGATTGAAATGTTTTAAAAATTAAACTTTTATATAAAAAATAAAGCAAGTGTAGAGTATGTAAAAAGAAAGTAGGTGGACTAAACATTTAGCAAGTGTAGAGTATTTAAAAAGAAAGTAGGTGGACTAAACATTTTTTCTAGTGAATTTAAGAGTCATTATGGGATTTCAAATTATTTCTCACTTTGGTCCTTTTTTGTTGAATTGTTTTCCCAATGAATTTTAATAAATTGATCATTAATTTGGTCATGTAAGATTGTAATTGAAAAAAAAACCTAGAACAAAAATGAAAAAAGATAAGTTATTGTGAATTACCAAAATATTTTACCTAGGCTTTCTAATATATTTTATAATGTAATAATATCCATAAAAAAATATGGCAATAAAAAATAAGAACTATTACCAAAATATATATGTTTTGGTTTATTAGATAAAAAAATTTTCTTTGTGAGAGGGATTCTATAATAATCCATAAAAAAAAAACTATGAAAAGAACAGTAATAAAAACAAACCGCAGTTGGATGAGGTTTAGCTAAATCTACTATATTAACTTTTTTCAATTTAGATAAAGACGCTTTGACGAAGCAAACATATTTTAAGGAAGTAAAAATACATGATCGAAGCATAGACTTCACTAATTGAAAAAGAAGGTATAATTTAATTAGATAATAAAAAAGGTATAATCTAAACAAATTAATGTATCAATTTAAAAAAAAATCAAAACATGTAATAAAAAAAAATAGTTGCCAAAACAATAAAGGTGACAAAGCTAGAATTTCAACCAATCAAATGAAAAAAAAAATAGAAAAGGAAAAGGAAAAAAAATTATATAAGTCAAACTAAGTTAACATGACAAATATGCAAGTCATGTCATTAGATAGGGATAAGCCAAAATAAAGCTAAAAAAAATCTAAGTCCAATTTCAAACAAATTAAACATGGAGGAATGAAATTAAAAATAAATTAAAAACTATCAAAAAGAAAAAACAGCAAACTGAGCAAGCCAACCAAACTCTGCAAACAAAATCATGCAAACAAGATAACTAATAGAAGCCAAATCAAAAGAGATTATGAAGTTCAATTCTAAAATAACTCAATATTGATTAATGGAACGTAACAAATATTAAGTTAAAAATTAAAAAAAATCAAGTCAACTCAAACTAACCTGTCAGACCTATAGTTTAAGTGATGAGATTAAGATAAATAAATAGAAAAGAAATTGAAGAAAATCATGAAACCCAATATAATAAAACTCAAACCTTGAAGGTGGAAAGTATGAAATTGAGAAATAAATCAATTTAAAAAATTTATTAAAGTAGTTTCAATAAAGAATGACAAAATAAAAAGAATAGAGATAACCCGAGTTATTTCTAAAATGTGTTAAAAATTACATGGAAAGCAAATAGATAAAAATAACTTAGCTTAATCTATAATTAAATGAATGTTGAAGGATAAAACTAGAAAAACATGAACTTTAAAAAGAAAAAAGAAAAAAAACAAGTAAACTTGGGTAAAACTATTAAACCTAATATAATCTTTAAAACTCATAACTCAAGAAATTCTAAACTTATGATCAATTAAAAAAAAAAGCTCAGTTTTAAACCAATTTAATGTTGGAAGATGAAATCAAATAAAGAAACTCAATTTAAAAACATTCCCAAAGTGAAAAATAGCAATCATAAGCTTAGGGATGAAATTTGATAAGAAAAGGAACTTAAAGAGGATACAATTAAAGAAAATCAATTAAAAAAAACTATCTTAAATAAAACAAATAGTAATCAAAATAATAGGGACTAAATTTGCAAGATAAGAAAAATTAAAGAGGGATGAAATAAAAAAATTCTAATTTTTTAAATTATTCAAAATAAAAAAAATAGTAATGAAAAAAATAAGGATCAAATCTAAATAAATAAAAAATTAAAAGATTGCATTGATTTTTTAATGGGTTGGCACAAAAATTAAGAATGATAAAGAAAATGAGGGGAAAAAAATCATAGATGCCAAACTTGAGAGGTGTTGGCCACACACCCTACCTCATCATAGAGGGGACATCGAAAAGTTTCAAACATTGTCATGAAAAACAACATTTAATCACTGGCCGACATTATACATACCACTCGAATGACACAGAGGCCATTCACTTGCTAATAAAAATTAATATTTAATCAAATATATAAATATCTCTAAGTCTACTTTATATTATCTAAATCATGATGAGACGACGAGAAAGCCTATGAAAGAAAGTTTCATAAACTTTTTCTTTAAAGGTAATTAAGTAGTTTTCCTATGCTAAAAAAATTGAAAAGACTAAACTACTTCTAGACATTAAGGAGTAAGTAATTTTACTATGAAAGAAAAAAGCTAAAACATTATCCTGCACTCATATAATTTAAAAATAATAATTGAATTATGATAAAAAAATCATAAAATAAAATGATACATGATTAAATTTTAACACTTGTTACCCCTTTATCAAATGTAAGATTCAAAGTATAATTGTCTTGATTTGAGAACCCTTATACTGTATTTTATTTTGAAAGTTTTTTTGTATTTTTATTAGTAGCAAATCTGAATTTTTTTAGGTTTCAATGTCATCTTAGTGGCATCCCTAGTAAGTAAGTTAAGGAGAGACTCTCAAAACTAAAAATCTAGAAAGATTTATTTGAAGATTACAATGGAAAGAACTAGTTATAGATAGTTACCCTACATTTTAACCATCCTAGACTACTCCAAGCTGCCTAGAAAACCCTCTAGTTTAAGTCAAGCATTGATATAAGCCGTAAAGGCATTCAAGGACACTTCTTTAAAAAAAATGAGTGAAAATAAGTGCTCAATCAATCATCCATTTAAAGATGCCAAATTCAATATGAAGTTCGTCTATTCTACAAAACAATCACTAAGTTATCAATATTTATTATAATGATATAGTGATTACTATATAATAATTACTGAAAATAACTTTATGTATTTTGACACAATTTGTTATGTGAAACATTAAGCTTTTGAAGTTTTAAGATAACCTCTACACCTTTTAAATTGTTTTTCAACCCAAAATGATTTTATTATGGATTTCTTAGTTTAAAGATTGAAGTTGTGTTAATCAATGTACAATGGATGAGCAAAGTAAGTTTTATCACATAAAATTTAATGAACAAACATGTTCTCATCTAATAAATAAATCAAAGATATATTATTTCTAAGGAATGTAGGGAAGCCTAGATCATAATAATCATTAAAAGTCATAGGAAAGCCTCAAGATATCAACCTTAAAAAAAGCTTTAAGATTTTGTAGTTAATCTTTAACAAAGGTATAATGAAACCTAAAGATTTCATAATCAATTTTATAAAAGCATAAGGAAGCCAAAAGATTTCAATAAAAAAAAATCAAAGCGTGAAAAGATTCCTCAATTATAAAAAGTTGAAGGTAGATGGATTTATGTAAGCAATCCCTTATTAGATTTATATTTGCCTCCTAAACGTTGTATGTTTCATGCATAAGATGATATTTAGATTATGTTTAAAAGAGATAAGCATATTTCTCATTTATAAAACTCCAAAGTATTTATATGCTATGTGTATGATTATTAAAAAAACTAACAAATATAAACGGAAATGAATTAAAACTTACTTTTAATGCTATATTGTGAAACATAATAAACTAAATGAAATATAATAAACATAATAAAGTAAAAAAATTAACAAATATAAACGGAAATGAATTAAAACTTATTTCAAATATTGTTTTTACCATTACATATGGTATCGCCTTACATGCAAAAAAGTCTCGGTTTCTAGATCATATATTAGCCAGAAAGTTGACATGTTTTATCGAAACACATATACTCCTTCCTCTTCTATGAAAATTCTCAAACTCGCCCTTCGGTTCTTTTATTATTAATGTCATCCATTAACATGTTTGGAGTAAATATATTTTTGAGAGGGATTATATCAAACTCGAGCCTCTACAAGTATTTAGCAAGGGGGGCTCCTGGTATATGAGTAAATGAATATACGATTCAATATCGATTGGGTCAAATAATTGCACAAATACAATGTAAAGAGATGACAATGGAATAAGTTGACCATATAAACTCCATTGAACCAAAACCTGTGTCGACTCCATTGTTGTTTTCACTGTACAGAGAAAAAAATAGTAGCTATCCAGAAAAGAACGACTATTTCTACGAAACAATCAAACAAGAGATGGTCTAATATATCTGCATGTGAAACCGGAAATTATTCAGCCCCGTTCGATAAATTATTCAGTTTTTATGTTCTTTCTTTGACTAGTCTCTGAATTAATTAGTTAGCTTCCTTATATAACATCACAAAAACATTTATTTTTTTCTTTCCAATCCAGGCCGGCAGTGAAGTCCCTGAAAATTATCTTGTGTTTTTGAAAAATAATATAAAATTATTTTTACAATTTTATTTAATAATTTAAGTTTTTAAATTGATATATAATTTTTTGATATGGTGTTAGAGTTTTTTTAATTAGATGATAATGAATTCAAATCTCATCATATTTATTATAATTTAATAAAAATTAAATATAAAATAATTTGAATATATATAAGTTTTATTATAATTTAATAAAAAATAAATATAAAATAATACGTGTTTTTCTTATTTGACATGCGAGGCATTAATATGTAAATAATTTGCTTTAGACCAACTCAAAACCACTCTAATCAATTAAAAATTAAATAAATAACTATACCTGCGACGGCTTGTCCATCCTTTAATTTTAGAAAGACCAAATCAAAATATAAATAAATAATAATAATAATAATAATAATAATAAAACCAAGTAGTAACATTAAATCAAGGTCAAAGAATGCGAACCGGTTAAAATCCTACAAATTAAATTCAAATAGAGAGCAGAAGTCCGAAGCAATCATTCTATATAAATAGAAGAGGGATTAGATCTTCTGATTCACATCCCAAAACATTAGAACTGGTTAATTAGACAAGAGTACTATCAATCAGTTAAAAAAATGGAAGACATCCTGCAGTACTCTCTTCTGGGTGGTTTCTTTCTTCTTCTTGTTGTCACCCTCTTGCAAAATGCAAGAAAGTACCGCATGAAGCTCCCACCAAGCCCACCAGGTCGACTAATTTTAGGCCATCTTCCTCTCCTCAAACAACCCAGGGCCATCCACCGAACTCTACACGACATCGCACAAAAAAATGGTCCAATCGTGACTCTTAAATTTGGGTTCCGAACTGTGATCATCGTATCATCACCATCAGCCGTCGAAGAATGTTTCACCAAGAATGACATTATCTTGGCCAACCGTCCTCCTTTTCTAAATGGCAAGGTATTGAACTACAACTTCACCACCCTTGCTGCAGCACCATATGGTGATCATTGGCGTAATCTCCGTCGCCTTACTGCCATCGAAGTCTTCTCATCAAGTCGCCTCAACACATTTTCGAGCGTCCGAAGAGAAGAAGTAAAGAATTTACTCCGTAAAATTCATAAAACGTGTGGGGATGGTTCCGCCGTGATAGAATTAAGGACAATGTTGTTGGATCTTAACTTTAATATAATGATGAGAATGGTTGCAGGGAAGAAGTATTATGGTGAAGATGTTGACGGGCTTGAAGAGTCAAGGAGATTTAAGGACATGATGCAGGAGTTTTCTGAGTGTACTAGGGTGACAAATCTTGGGGATTTATTTCCCATTTTGCAGTGCGTTGATTATGATGGATTTAAGAACAGGATGACTCAGCTAGGTAAAAGGATGGACGCTTTCTGGCAAGGACTCATTGATGAACATAGAGTTGATAAGGATAGAAACACCATGGTTAGCCATTTGCTCGCTTTGCAAGAATCGGAACCAGAATACTATACCGACGAAATCATCAAAGGCATTATTCTGGTTAGTCTCAAATCTCACTCTGCTGGCCTAAATTCTTTTTCTATTTTTGGATAAATAAGTAATAAAAACGTATATCTGACGACTTATGGTTATTCTAATTATATATGTATATATATTCCTTTGGTTTCAATCTTTCTGATTTATGACTGGTTATCCACTATTTTCTGCAGATGATGTTGGTTGCCGGGACAAAGACCTCTGCTATGTCTTTAGAATGGGCATTTTCCAACCTGCTTAATAATCCACGCGTATTAAAGAAAGCGATAGACGAAGTGGACACCCAAGTTGGTCAAGACCGCTTGGTGGATGAACCAGATTTCTCTAATCTACATTATATTCAGTGTATCATCTATGAAAACCTGAGATTATGTCCACCAGCTCCGCTCCTGGTACCACATGTGGCATCCGAGCGCTGCTCCCTTGGAGGCTATGATATTCCATCAGGTGCAATGGTACTTGTAAATGCATGGTCCATTCATAGAAATCCCGACGTGTGGGAGGATCCATTAAGTTTCATGCCTGAAAGATTTGAAAATGGGAAAGGGGAACCATACAGGCTAATGCCATTTGGGTTAGGACGGAGAGGTTGTCCCGGAGAAGGCATGGCACTTAGAGTGATAAACATGGTTATGAGCCAATTGCTTCAATGTTTTGAGTTCTCAACTATTGATGGAAAGGACGTCGATATGACTGAAACGGCAGCAACACTCATGCTGAAAATTACCCCACTGCAACTCATCTGCAAAGCTCGCCCGAACACTCGCAGCCTGCTCGCTTAAGCTGCATTCAACCCTTTTTCATCTGAATTTAGTGATATCGGTTAGGAAATAAATACAGGTATGAGGGCAATAAATGTAATGTGAGTTCATATTCTATGCAGAGCATTATTACTTTTCCGTATCCTTGTTGAGTGACGTGCTATTGTAAACTTTCGAAATTGGTGGAGTTAGGAAGATAAAAAAAACCAGCTTTGACTGAATACGTGTCGTTGAAATATATTTGACTATTATTTGATTTGTGAAACAGTAGTGGATTAATGCTTTCCAGCCTGATAAAGTTCTAGATGTTTTGCTTTTAAGCCTCCGTTTGCTATTCCATACCAAATGCTGGGGCAAAATTTGACAAAAACAATTTTTTTAAAATTATTTTTTATATATTTTTCTCATTTACTTCTGATAATAAAAAATAATTTAAAAAATATTATTTTAATATATTTTCAAATAAAAAATAATTTAAAATACAATCGATTATATTCTTAAACATTTTTCACATTAAAAAATATAAAAAATTAAACAAGTAAAAAAATTAAATATTTATATTTTATTTATTGAATTTTAAATATTTATTTTGATATTTATTATGTAAATAATATTGTTTAGGTGAGTTTAATAATATTCATTTCATAATATAGAATAAAATAACTATTTAAAAGACTTATTTATATAAATTAATTTAAATTAGTATCCAAAAAGGGTAGATAAAATTATCATCTTATTTTTTAATTCTACGTTCGATCTTAAGCTTGTTAGCCTGGAAGCTTAAAACGGCAGCCCAAGGAACTAATAAGTAGAAATTTTGAATATAATTTAACAGTACTAATCAATTAATTTAAAACTGTATATTTGAGTCCTACGTTAATTTCATGTTTTTCTTCACATCATTTTTATTTATCCTCTTAAAAAAAAAAAACCTTTTTTTTAATAGCAAAGTAACTTCTTCTTTTTTCATTTCGATCCCCGTATATTTTTTTCATTTTAATCTTTTTTTTATTTTTATGTATTTCGATATCTTTCAAATGTCTGGAATATTCCAACAATTGATTAAAAATCACTTTTGTGAAATAAAGCTTTAGGTTATCATTGAAAAAGAAATTTAAAAAAATGATCAACTTCAAAAAAAATAAAACAAAAAATAAAAACAAAACATACTCATCTAGATTTTAGTGCGGCAAGTTGTTTTTGCTCCTTGAATGTTTAGTTTATGTATTGTTCGGTATTATTGCTTTAGAAATTTACAATTTAATCTAAAACTTTATTTATTTTATGTTTTAATCCTGGGATGTTAAGAAGAGAGAGAAAGAGAGTCACTAGAAAAAGTTAGGAGAAAGAAAGTGTCTGGAAGACTGTATTTGGATCACTTAAAAAGAATAATTTTCTTGTCAATAAGTTTTTATTTTTTAGAGAAATTTAATAGATATTATGTTGACCTTCTATTATGTCAAAAACAGTAAAACAAGGTTCATAATTTTTTTTTAATTCATTGATTTTTTGTTTATTTAGATTAGTTAGAGGATGTTCTAAGTTAGAAATGTGTTTATTAAGCTTTTTATGGTATTTTGACATGCTTTCATGTTAAAATAAATTAAAAATTGAGTTTTTTTTATCCCAAAACTTAGATCTTTATTTTTCAATCACTAGAAATGACTTGAAAATTCTCTATTAACGGACAAGTTATCTGGCATAACAAACAAATATGTTGTTTGTTTTTTAATTTTATGTATTTTGGTTAACTTTTTATTTAAATTTTAATTAATATATCCTTTTCTTGTTTTTACTTTTCATTAATTTTTTGTTTTTACTTTTAATTAATTTCTTCTCTCTTATGTTTTATTATTTAATTTCATAATGCTTCAAGGAGATTCTTATAATTTTCTTTAATTTTTTTCCTTTTATATTTTACATAAAAATATATTTACATGATTTATTTATAAAAAAATAAAACATTTTTTTTCTTAGAAACCATAATTAAACTCTAAAATGAAATTAAAAAAATAAAAAAATAAAAAAAATAGTCGGGATTAAACATTTGCATATTTATTTATCTTTTACTTTGACTAAGAACATTAGCATTTTGCTTTAATATTTAATTAACTTTAGAATTTTATTAGTTTACATTTTTTTATATTATTAAACATAAACAATATCTTTAAGTTTTTTAATTAAAACATATCATGATATTTAAAAACACATTCATAATATTGATTTTTTTACATTAAAAATTAATTTAAAATCCAAATAAGAATGTAAAACTAGTTAAAAACTAAAAAAGGTTAATGATGTATTGTAGTATGAAAGATAAAACATTGTGGATTAATACAATATATTTAATTCTTTATCTTCTCTTCAAAAACCAATTGCTTAACTAATAGGGTAAAATAATCTTTTCTATAAAATTTCATGGTCATTGATAAATTAATTCGAAACAATTTAGTTTGAGTATTTTTTTTCATGCAGTAAAATAACTTTGGTGCTTTTAAAAGCAAAAAAATTCTAGAACCTTTGTTAAGAGGCTATTTTATCTTTTTAATTTTTGTTACACAACAAATTGATGTAGATACCCTCAAAAGTTAAAAGAATATTGAACAGGAAGTGATGGGTTTTTGGTTTTTTTAATATTTAGCATAGATAAATAGCAAATTGAACTTTTTTTAAAAAAAATCTAACACCCATTTGAAAAAATATTTTTGTCTTTTCTATATGGTGATACCAATAAAGATTATTAAGTAATTAAACATGTTAAAATATTTAATGTTAAAATATTTTTAAATAAAAATATTGTTGATATGTGCTATGCATGCTTGGTTATTTTTTATGCTTTTTGGAGAACATGTGAAGAGTTATTCAATATTTAAAGCAGCCAATCACTATGTTATCCAACACATTTGATGGTGGTGAAGCTAATAGAGTGGCACTTATAGTTATATTTATAGTGATTTAGTTATGGTTGATTTTTTTTTCTTTTCTCTTTTTTCTTTTCCATGGATCCTGGTATTCACGCTAAACTTTTAAAAATTCAATTGTATTGGCTAATTTGTATTCATTTTGAATTTGATTATTATCCTTTTTATTTATTTTTATTTTTATTTTAATTCTTTTTAAAATTTATTGTTTTTATATTTCATCTCTCAACTTTTCATTTCATTGAATTTTTATATCTAATTTGGTCATCATTCTTTTAGTTCCTATATTTTTTTATCCTTTGCTTTATTTAGTTTTTATTTTTTATTTTTTTTCTTTAACATTTTATTTTATTCAATTTTTTTTTCCAATTTTGGTCATTTTTTTTATCATTTTCTTCATTTATTTTTTCAATTTTGGTCATTTTTTTTTATCATTTTCTTCATTTATTTTTCTTTTGAACTCATTCTCTAATTATTTTCTTTCATTTAGTTTTTGGACAAGATTTGGTCTTCAGCATTTTGATTTTAATTTTTTTTATCATAGAGAATTTTTCTTCGATACTCTTTAATGTCTACCTTCTACAACGTAATCCCAATCTCATGCATCGAGGCACTGATTTTAAAAATTAGTCTCGTTTAAATTTAGTTTTAATTAGGTCCTTTCTAAAATTTATTGTTTTAGTTTCGTCATTCGACATTGAGTTATTAGGCATTGAACTTCATAATTTGTTTTATTTTTTTTTTATAGATTTATCCTTATGAGTCGTGGATTAGTCAAGTTAATTCGGATTGACTAAAGGTTTTTTATAAAATTAATTTTTTTCAATGTTATCATTTATATTAAATTATTGACCATTGAACTTTGTGATGTGATGTTTTCCACTTTCTTTTTTATAGGGTTAACTTAGGTACAAGTTAGTCAAGTTAACATGTGTTAACTTAGATTTTTATTTTTATTTTTTTATTGATTTAATTTTAATTTTTTTTAAATAATAATTTTGATCTCATATCATGTTTGGCGTGTTAATAAAATTAACTTATGTAAATTCGGACTTCTTTCTTTGACTTTTTTTTTTAATTAATTTTTTTTATTTCCATTCTTTTAAATTAAGTTATTGAACTTTAAACTTAATAATTTTTTTATAAAATTATTTTAATTTTATATTTTAATTTACATGCTGATCAAATCAACCGGATTGATTTTATAATCAAGATATGTTTTTTATATTAAGAAAAATTTAAGCTAGCACACAATATAACCATAACCATGTGCGGCAAGAATAGGTAATTCTAATTAGAAACTTCCTACACATGTTCGACGCTTAAGAATATACTCTCACGAATTCAAAAAATATAGAAACAACCATCACCGCTATTTTCTTTTTTTTTTCTTCTTTTTTTTTCTCATACAAAGCCCACTTGACATAAAACTACAAGGAACTTTTTTTTCTTTTTTCTCTTTTGGTTCAAAAACCATGAGCAACTAAAAGACACGTTTCCAATGTGAAAACTAGTCACAACAAACAAGACAAAGCACTCATCTATTGCGTAAGCTAACCTATGAGTTATAGGGTTAATGATTTTTTATTAAAATAAAACCGTCTCGTTCTTCTAATAGATATTCTAGAATCAATCCATGATGGAGGACTTATTCTTGCTTCGATCTTTGAAGATTGACTATTTGATATTTGAACTGGCCAGTGCGCTTTTTACCAGTCTTTTTTTAACCTGGTTGGGTTGTTGACTTGCTTCAAGATATTAATTACAGGTTTTAACGGGATTATCGGATTATTTGATTAATTTTAATTTTTTTATAAATTAAAATAATATTATTTTGATAAAAAATAAAAAAATAATTTAAAAATTATAACTAAAATTTTAATTAAATCTTGTTGGATCATTTAGGTCGATCAGTCATGCCAACTATCTTTTTAATTACCCTTATTTTTTTATAAATCCAGTCCATTATCCACCCATGTTGGGATGTGTAATATTTTTTGTGATGCTACTAATGAGTTGAGTTGGATGAACGTTATCTTATATAAACCCATCTAGAGTAAGTAGTGGCTTTCATACTCATTCTAATCCACATAATTCTTACATGTACAATATTAATCAATATAACTCATCAAGGATTAATGCCCAACTACTGTGTAGTTAGGAATTAGATCATCTTCAACGCTCAATCCAAAACCACATTCTTGGTTTAGATTTCAAGTAA